TCTAAAGAAAGGGCGCACACACCGCGCGCATACGGTTACACACCCTCAACCCTAAACCCCTAAACCCCTAAACCCTCAACCCTGGACCCTCAACCCCTCAACCCTAAACCCCTAAACACTCAACCCTGAACCCTCAACCCCTCAACCCTCAACCCTAAACCCTCAACCCTAAACCCCTAAACCCCTAAACCCTCAACCCTAAACCCTCAACCCCTCAACCCTAAACCCTGCACCCCAAAACCCTTAAACCCCTAAACCCTCCACCATAAACCCTAAAAGCCTAAACCCCTAAACCCTCAACCCTAAAACCCTTAAAACCCTTCAACCCTTTCCCTAAACCCCTAAACCCTAAACCCTAAACCCTGCACCCTAAAACCCTTAAACCCCTAATCCCTAAACCCTAAACCCCTAAACCCTCAACCCTAAACCCTCAACCCTAAACCCCTAAACCTTAAGCCCTTAACCCCTACAGGGGCCTGGGATCTGAGACCAGCTGGAACTGGCCGTTCGGCATCAGGCGCTCTTCTCCACTCCGGAGTTCCACCTCCTGGATGGTGTCCTGCTGGATGCCAACGGCTTTGTTAGGGTTTTGGGGGGAGTTAGGGGTTTAGGGGCTTAGGGCTTGGTGTTTAGGGTGTAGATGTTTAGGGGTTTAGGGTTTAGGGGTTTAGGGTTGGCTTAAGGTTCCATAATGGGTATATCTAGTAAATAATAAGGTTGCCCCAATATAGTAACGTAAATTAAATTCCTTAACAGCAACCCAGTTCTGCGTAGGTGTCCAGTATCTAAGGTTGATCACTGCATGCCAGTCGTTTCGTCTATTTTCTTTTAGCATGTCCCTACACTCGTTTAATAATGTCCACTGGGCAGGACCCATAGTTTGTACTTGGGATCCCCACATTTGACACCAAATATATACAGTGACCAATGCTAAAACGAACCCTATATACACTGAGGAACAACCCAACCCAACTTGATACAAGCCTTGTAAACACCTTCGAAGAGTGACCAAAGTTGACGTTTCATTCTCCGTTGTGTTTTGCATCTGATTCTGCATTTTTGGGTATATCCCTATATAATCCTTGTATGCCGCTTATTGTTCTGGGGATATTTCTGGGATAGTAGTTTTCATTTTAGTTCTTCTTCCCCTATAGTCCCGATCCCCCAATAGAACCCATATGAGCTATAGTCTAAACTCCTAGCAGCCCCCCTTAACAACCCCACACCTTTCCCTATATAGTCCCTTACATAAGCCCTTCGTGAGTTCAGATTTTGGCTCACATGTACGCACACCCCAAAACCCGAATCCCTAAACTCAGAACCCTAAACACGCTGAGGGTTGTGGGAGGGAGGGCGCGGCCGGCCTGCGCATCGCGGGCACTTGGCAGTACCTTCCCACAGTGTCTAGCAGATATGGGTGTTGATCGGCCACAAGGGCTTCGGATTCAGGTGTTGAACCCTGAAACGTTTTGGGGAATCTATCTGTGGATCCTGTTGGTCTATGTTGGAACATCGTTTTTGCTCAGGGTGTATATTGAAAGAGACTAGCATCTTTGACAAATGCTAGTTCAAAGCGACTACAGAATATTTTCTGGTCATGACTTGAGTTTTCCCCACGTTGCCCAGAGTGTGCAGCAGGTTTTCATAAATTCGGGAGCGAAATGTAACCTCTGATATAGGGACTCCTATCAAGGAGTGCTTCACTCTACAGTCTCAGCGCGGGGCAAGAGGTGCGGCCAATGCCAACATGGTTAAGAGAGCCGCCGAGATGACCCACATGGGCTTCGGAGGACCTGCAGAGCTACAGGGGTAGATAATTGAGGGAATGGACAAATTCCACACTATGTGGAAAATTGGGCTTAGGGCCTCTACTCGAGTATGTGCTGCGTAGTAAGTCTGCACAAGGTCATGCAGCCTAAAGCAGAATGACTGAGTTCAGAAGAGATGCTTTCTCTTCGCTTGAGCAGGGCGTATGCGCCACCAGAGACAGCGACTCCAGGAGTCAAAACGAGGATGAGCGAGGTAAAGTAATTCCTTGCGTGCATTGCCATCCGGACACAATGACCTGAACATGTCAAAGTACGGTCTATGGCTGCCAAATAGCAATACTGTCGCCGGAAGTGAGGCGGTTTGCGCAAATGCGCTGCTAACAGTGTTGGCAGCATTCAACGACAAAAGGGCGCCAACTGCCACGGCAATTGCCAGGGCGGTCAATCTGCGCGGGCGCGCCTCAACAAAGAGCATCAGAAGCCAGAATCATGTCCAAAAATGTGGTGCACCATCCCATCCTGCACATAATGCTGCCGAGACGCCATGTCTGCAGATCTAGCACAGGCACGGGAATTACGGCCTATGCTCTACGCGCCGATGGTCCCATCGGCAAAGCTTGGATCCAAAACTCATAAGATTGCTTGCATCGAGCGCACGCTTTCCCGGGGAGTAGACTCTGCTCTTCCGCTTCCAAACTTACACTAGTTTAGCTCTCATAGGCCTCTACATGCATCATAAGCCTAGGTGCTCTGGTGCAAGGCCACCAGCAAGAGCAGTGCAGCATGAGCAGTGCAGTGCCTGCAGCCCATGCGACAACCCATAAGTAAGGATGCAAACCTCCCGCTGCCACTGAAGAGCTGCGGACCTTGGTATATAATGCCAGGTGTGCATATCATCCCCCCACGGCATATCTCAATGGTTTAAGTGGCGACAAGGTGCCATCTTAGACAACAAGCGAGAGCTGCTGCACAGTGTCTCTCGTAAGGTAAGGGTTCTCGTACGGCACCAAAAAGCGAACCTTTCAGATTTTGAAGAAAGTGCACAGGCTTCCGTGCCTCCGTTTGTCAAGATAATTTTGAGACTTGCTAGCAAAATGAGACACTCAATGGATAGAAGATAAGGCAACCGGAGTGTTGCTGCTACACATCTTGACCGACAAGAGCAAGCAAAATGGACGCGCTTGGCGTTCCTCTCACAATTTCGAGGACCGACGCACATTGTAACTGTACTCGAAAGTTGAAAGCAGCTGCATGCTGGCGTCTTGAATTCTGAGTGGCTTGCCGAGGAAGCATCGACACTGGTGGCCGGCACACCATGTCCTGTGACTTGATACTTTGAAGAAGTGCTTCAAATGGGAAAGCTGGAATACGGATGTGAGGGTCTCCCAAAATTAGGGGTACCTTTTTGGGGGGCCCCCACAATAAGGTAATAGTATTTTGGGGACTATAATAGGGTCCCCCTATTTTGGGAAAACCCCATATGTAGCCACTCAATGCCCTGCTGCAGTTCCTGGCGCACCATTTCTGCCCATAGCTTTGGCCTGCACAAGAAGAATGCGGCCATCAACAATTGTTGACACAGCCATCTCGGGTTTTCCATAAATCTGGGGCCCCAACAATCAGCCTCCCAAAAAGGATCCCCCATAATTGGAAACCGTATACACCATATCCCTCCATATCCCCATGTGAGCTCTGGTCTCAACTCCTGGCGTGCCTCTTAATAACCCGTATAATCCTCCCCTATATTATCACCTGTATAACCCCATATAACCCCCTTTGAGGAGTCTAGACTATGGCTCATGTATCCCTAAAACCCTAAACCCTAGAATCCAGATAAGCTATAGTCTGAACTCCTAGTATCCCCTTAATATTCCCTACAGTAGTCCCCTACATTATAACCACCCTCCAGGGAGTTTAGACTATAGCTTAGGTGGACCTCCCACCCTCTAATAGTGACTATGAGGGATACCTGTAATTGTATGAGAGTCCTGTTATAGTCCTATTATACCACAATTGCAGGCTGGGGGGTCCCCCTAAACCCTAAAACCCTTCTAATTTCGCGCTTCCCAGAGCATCCTAAGTAGGGACTCAGGCGCAAACCATAAGGCATCTCCCGACATCGTCCCACAAACTCTCCTGTCATCTGAGCTGTAGTCTTAACTACGGTTTCCAATGGGGAGTAGGGCCGTGAGTGCATGTCAAGTCACGTCTATAGTCTGAGAAAGACAGGAGCCGAAGAAAGAACAGGCCCTCCGGGCGCACTTCTGGCTTACTTTAAGTACAGGAGCGCACGTCGTGTGAGGAGAATCACACCGTGGGCTGCAAGCACTCCAAAGAAGAAATTGGCGAGAAATCAGTACACATGCGCTCACACATGATTGCGAGGACCTTGCATGACCGCTTTGCCAAAGTGAGCCAGCGCCGTCCTTTCTATACAAGAAGCATGTGCTGACTTACTTTAAGTGCCCCTGCACCTAAGCAGGACCCGAGACAGAGCAGAAAGCAGTAACTACGGTTTAGGGTTTAGGGTTTAGGATTTAGGGTCTAAACTCCTAGTATCTCCCTTATACATCCTATAATATTGCCTGTATTATAATCCCCCCATAAAACACCCTTTGAGGAGTTTAGACTATAGCTCATTCAAAGCTGTGAACAAAACTTGCAGCAAGGAGTACTAAATCATTTAGGAATAGAAAAGAAGATTGAAGCTACGCTGCTTAATGGTGCTCGAGCTCCAGTAAAAAGAGTGGTAGACTTGAATGGTGGCGTGTATAGAAGGGGGCGGGGGCGCCCAATATTATCATCCTCATAAACTCCCAAAAAGGGTCCCAAGCTTTTGGAAGCCCCCAAATACCTGGCACAAAGCGTGTGCCACAGCTGCACGCTCCTCTTGACTGGCGACCCTTGCGATGACTGCGTCAAAAGCTGGCAGCGCCTGCAAGTAGCAAGTTCCTACCCAAGGGCTTCTGTGCAGTTCTATTGGGGTTCGTCGTGCTTTTGAATATTCAGTAGGGCATATACGTTCTGCCCAACAGGAACTACATGCGAGGCTCTGGGTACAAGTTGCAATGGAATGTCCTATCTAAAGCAGCCGACGTAAAAATCACATGATCATGACTTCTAATTTGTCTGGACCTGGCTCAACACTGCAAGCCCGGGCAACGAGAAGCTGGGCACACAAAAGAGGCTTGGTTTCAGCTTTGTTCATACTGCATGGCCGCACTCTTCTTCTTTGCTTGTTGAATTTGGATTGTAGAAGCCTGCGTTAGCGCTTCCGCTTTGGGTTTAGCATTTTTCCTCCTTCCACGGTCACATCTTGGACTCGGCACATCCGCCGGAAACCTTGTCAAGGTTTCAGAATAAAATCTCAAGGATCGGCAGAAGCCTCAATTCAAAACCTTGGCTTTGTGAAATTCAGTGGATATGGCTCTAGGGTGTACGACCATGCCAGATGTATGTTCGCAAGGAGTTTAGATTCTACTCTCACTTCATCTACGCCCGTCAGGCTTTAAGCAATGTCAGCAACATCCACTGTGATTGAATATAGTGCTGTAAACTCGATGAAGAGCATCCTCCAATACAGTGATACCACCCTCTGTTTTAGCTCGACTGGCAAGATTTGGGAATCCGTCTTTCTTTAAGCCTCTTAAAATGCGATACATAGCGAGACTTTTGCGATTTTGTCAATGAGCACCCTTGTTGAACTGCGTGTCTTTCCCCTCAGTTGGAGAGGTACAGACAGCAAAGGGCCTGAAGTGCTCCACCTTGAAGCGTACTTGTGATACTTTCGAGGCCAAGAAATTATTTTGAGAAGTTGCCAAAAATCCGTTCAAGAGCTAGCTGCATGCCGTGTTTCTCTGCATGATTTTGCATTCGCCACAGCGCTGCCGGGGTTTACAGAGGACAGATCCCCAAATGGAAGTCCAGGTATTCCTCAAAATTTGGGTCCCCACATCTACCAACAGCCTATCTAAGGAGAGAGCAAGTACGAGATTTGTCCAAACCATCGTATTGAATGCACTGATTTCAAGGTTGCAAAAAGACTTCCACACTATCAGGAACTGAATGTACACGAACGGGCAATCTGCAGCCCCACGCCCTGAAGGCAATCTGCACTTCTCAGCCCCCAGCGCAAGAATCTGTGCAACAGCCGTCGCCGGAGTGTTCATCTGGTTTAGGGTTTAGGGTTTGTTGCGCAGTCTGAACTCTGAACCGCTCTCTTCCGGATCGTCTGGAATGCATTATACGTTGGCCCCCGCCTACTTACTAACAGATTGAAAGACCTCGGTAATTGTATTTAGGGTCCCTATATATTCGTATAGCCACCATCACTGGGGGGCCTAACCCGAGGAATGTCTTGCCTCCTGCTGGCTGCTTATGTCCTGTCAACTTGCGGCGATGGAAGTCCGTACTGTCATTCTCTCAAGTGCAGATTGCACAGAATGGGTGGCCCTTTGGGACTCTTATATAGGGGTTATATAGGGATTATATTGGGATAATGGAAAAGAAAATCGAAACTACTACATTATTAACATGGTAGTTTAGGTTATATATATAGACGCAGTGATCATGGAGTCTCTCTTTGGGATTCCTACGTTTTGGCAAACGCCCAACTGTTCCCGACCCGAAATACAAAACCCTCAGTCCTGGCTCCACGTTGCTGCCAATGAGACTTGCGAGGCAACCATGGGCGCATCAGACAGCTGCGACGATGGGCTATGCCTCACAGCACCATGCCAGACCACAAATACTGGAGACAAAGCATCGTACATGACCCTAAGTCTTCAGGGACACTACCCTGATAACTGAGACCTGCATGAAAAAGAAACTAGAAAATGAAAAAATGGCTGGGACCATGTAGAAGCTCAAAGGGTTCATGCTGCAAGTCCTGCATGACCCTAAGTACCCCAAACCCTGTAAATTCGGGCTACTGTAGTACACTCAGGTCATGATCAACAAATAGCGAGTTGGAGGCGTTGAATGACAAATTACTGGTGCTTAGCAGGGAAGGGTGGAATAATAGGTCCTCATACTTGCCCTCATATTATCCACATTACAAGCCCATCGTAGTGCCCAGCACCCCCCCTCCCCACTAAGCATCAGTACGACTGAGCATTCCACTGCGACTTCTGCCGAACTCGCCGGCTCTCGAAATCATCTGCAGGGGTGCTGCTAGTTTTTAAGGGAGAGTGGGGGAGCAAATCACGGTAACAATGGTTCTACCATCGGTATGATGATCCCGGCATTCACTCCCCTGATCACCCTTGGGCACCTTTAAGTCAAAGGCATCTATTTGGGCTGCTGGTCTGAGGTTGCAACCATCTAATCCTCGGCATCTCCTCGCCACAGGAACCGATCGAAAGGACGCTATCAAACGTTCTATGGTAATTGGCCATCTGAACCACCTTTGCGAGTGAGGTCGGGCGAGGTCACTATAGTTGGCCCCGCTTCTGGAAGTAGCTTTCATGCAGCACGCCCTAAGCCAATGTACAAATCCTACATCGTCAAGGAGACAGACAACGACCGTGCTGTAAACCCCGGCCCCT